GTAGCTCTAATGTTGTACAGGAATACTCCCTTAAAAGATACAAAACTGTCACCTGCACAAATAATGTTAGGTCGGGTAGTCAAAACAACATTACCAACTGCTAGTTCTGTGTTAAAACCTATTCGTGTAAACAGTAAAGAGATTAAATCAAAGTTAGAAAGTCACAAAAAAGTTGTAAAAGCTTATTATGATAGAGGATCACATAAGTTACCTCCCTTTCAAAAAGGTGATAATGTTATGGTAAAATCAGGAAAGGTTTGGGAACCAGGATTAATTATAAGAAAACACCAGACACCAAGATCCTATATAGTTAAGTCTAGTAATGGTAATGAACTAAGAAGAAATAGGGTATTTTTGAGAAAATCCTTTAACAAATTCCCTTTAGTCTCAAGTGATGATCCAATGACTCAGTTGTATGATGAAACTGATAGGCCTATTGTTCCACCTAGGTTAACTCCTGCCTCAACACCTAACCAAACTAGCTTGACTCCTGTTGCAACCCCTAACCCATCTCAATCCCGAACAAGGTTTGGAAGAGTAATTAAAAAACCAATAAGGTTTGAAGACTAATTTTGTTTTGTAAATATTGTGTGTTCAATTTTGTTTTCATGAACTCTCAATCCTTATTTTTAGGGGGGAGATGTTATATACATAGACTATATATAATATTTTACCATTGTAGGCCTATGTAAGACTACTCTGTAGGCCTATGTAAAACTACTCTAAGCTAAGCTCATGTGACTTCTTCTTGTTCACTAAGACTTCCGTGTCATCTCCATAATGTAGCTTTGTGCTCTGTAGTCTGTTGATTTTATTATCAAACTAAATCTTTTAAATTTACTTTGTGTAGTTATTATTTAGAAGCCCAAGAAGAACTAAGAGTGTTAATTTTTGTTTATTAGATATTTCAATTGCTAGATTAACCTAGAAGTCCACTTTGTATCCTCGAACATGACGTGCAGGGCTACCACCAGAACAGAGCCAAATAACACGTAATTTCACGACCAAAGTTTCACGACCATCGCGGGTTTTTTCACGACCAATCCAGCCTTATGGATTATAGTGTGTTTGGTCGTGATAATAACTTTAATATAATTGTAAATTGAACAGTTTAGTTCAATTGAAACACATATTTTTATTATAACTAACAGTATAATTGATAGATTGTTTAGAAAGATTTAGATTATTCCAGACAATTCACGACCGTAACGCTTGTCCCTGACCATCACGTTTATGATTTCTATCATAAAAATTTCAAAAATTAAAATATCGTCATATTACAATGTTTTATACACAAAAGAAGCACACCTCTATACAAACATAACGATTTTTCGGATCTCAGGTAAGTTTTTTCGGAGTTATACAAACTTAAAAAGATTTTATTGGCTTGTTTTCAATTTTTTGAGTTTTTTTATTTTTTTCTAGAAAGACCAATTATACCAGAAGCTCAGGGACCTTTTTATTGTATAATGGTCATAAAAGTAAATTAGTTTATAGCAAAACATAGTTATAAAAATAATATTAACCATTTTTAATATTCATTTAAACGTCCGTTATGGTCGTGACAGGATTTTGTGTTTTTCCACTAAAGATGCTCTTTAAAAAAAAAAACTACCAAAGATATTGCGTTACCATGGACATTTTATGAAACTTCAAATGTTAATGAAATAAAAATAATAATAAAAGTTTTGAAAAAAGGGGGAAAAATTTGCAAAGTGCTTTTCCTGAAAACGTACGTTTTTAAATTTTCACTCTTATATTGTCCTACCAAAATCCCTAAACCCTCAATCTTTTGACGTATTGACGGGGGCGTCTTTTTTTGTGGGGGGGGGGATTTCCCTGGTTCCTGGGCTAGAGAAAAAAATATGCTGTACTAGCTAATATACAAATATTTTCTCATGTCAAATCCTAAAAAGCACGGCAGACAAAAAAAATATGCCTATTCTTCAACAGTAATTCGAAAGAAAAATATTTTTTTGTTTCTCAGTAGCACATTCAAATTAACTGTGTTTAAATTATTTTATTGATAATCAAATTGTATTTGCTTTTAAGTAGGTACTTAAATACTTGTGTTTTATTTCAAAACCAAAGTCTAAATATTGTATAAGAGAATTTGGTCATAAATCTAATAAAAAAAAATAATATTAATACACCATGGAACTATTAATCACGTTTCTTAGATGACTAACCAACATATCATTATGTTTCTGTCTGTTGTCAATAATTTTTAATTTAATTAATTTTCTGTCTAAATTTAAATACTTTTTACTCATAATTTTGTTTTTATTCTAAGTGCTTTTGACAATTAAAATAAGCTTAAACGCCTTTTTTTATTTCAAAAGTGTAAAATTTCCCCAGACTTCTCCCCCCCTGTTTGCTGGGGAGTATTCCGTAACCCCCAGTGTTTGCCCCCCCCCCAAGGTTTTAGTGAAATGACGTCACTGTGTGTTGAAAATTGAAATAAGTATTTGCACAGATAGTTTTGTTGAAATTATAACTTCAAAATGACTGAAACACATTATTTGAAGGGACACCTACTATGTCAGACCGTCAGACATATCCTATCTCCAACTGATATCCTGCAAACATATTATTTTTCACACAAAAAATATAAGTGAATTTGTGTTCTAGCAATTGTTATTAGGTGAGAATGAAAAAGATTTTCTATACCGGTATATAATATATACATTTCAACATTATTTACACATGAAAATAGATAAGTTTGTAACTGATTTTGTATCAATATTTCTTATTTTAATGAAAAATGTATATGGTTCAGAAACGTAAGGTATTCAGATGTAAACTCGCCCAAAAAATGAATATTGAAAACAAATGCAATTGCTAAAGTAACATCGTTTTGCAGCATTTTGATTATGATTTCATCTTATTAATCCTATACGGTATGCAATCATGACTGAAAGTACTGAGAGAATATATTTGTTAAGGCACTGGCATGATTTTTGAACTAACTATATTCATGTAATGATTCTCATAATAGCCCGATGTTTCTCAGGAAATCATCCAGGTCCATACCGGACCTGAGACTTCTCTCAAACCTAAGAGTTGGTTCTGTAAACCTGTACCGAGGCCTGTAATCAACTCTCCTGAGGTTGTTAGACCGTCGTCCGAACCAGTACGAGGGGAAGAGCCAAGGAAGGACTAGAGCCGCCACTCCCAGACCAGAGGCAAGGAGAATGGACATCGGGGCAAACAGGAAAGACCAGAAGGATAAACTAATGGGGTTGAAAATTGTCAAAGAAGCGAAGAAAGCACCTATCTGTTCCAAAAGAGTCATTGAACCCCCAGATGGTTTTTTGGTAGTGGTCGCAACAGTTGAGGAATCAGGGATATCATTCAGGGGAAAATCTTGGATGGTTGGGGGCTCTATTTGACCATCCCCGTTTACATTGTGGACAGGGGAGTTCAGGTTGATTATGCAGTCCTTGTTTTCGAGGGAATTTGTGATTGTCTGGACGTTGAACAATTGGACAGGCGCACATTCTGATCCACCGACACCTGCGGCTCCTCCAATACCACCAATACCACCTGCAGCAGGAACTATAGGAGGGATGATAGGGATGGGAACTAAACCTCCTCCACCACCACTACCACCACCCCCTCCTCCTCCAGGGTAAGGGTCAGCCTGTGGGGGTGGAGCTGACGGGGTGTCTTCTGGAGAAGCTAGGATCAAAATGGAAGGTGGTGGTTTCCCAGAAGATACTGTGACAGGGTTGAGAGGTGACCCTTGGGTGGCAACAATGTATATAGGAGGAGGAGTCGGTCTGTTGGGTTTATCATGTTGAGGAGGTTCAGGGGAAGGGCCTGGAACAGGGGTTTCATCCCCCAAAATTACTTCTGGTTCCGGATAAACATCTTCAGGCTCAGGGAAAGGAACGTGGGAACTCCAAGGAGGTTCTGGTTCAGGTTCTGGTTCTGGTTCTGGTTCAGGATCATGGACAGATGATTGAATTACCACTGAAGTGTATGGGTAATGCGGCATTGGAGTGGGATGATGAGGTGGATTGAATGTGCTCGGTTTGTAATGGTAAACTGGTTTTGAGGTAGGTTCTGCAGAGGGGTAATGATGGTTAGGTTTAGGAGGGGGTTCAGGAGAAGGTCTAGGATAATGGTAAGTTGGTCTTGGAAACGGCTCAGGGGATGGAGATGGAACTTGAGGTTCTGGATGAGGATCATGATAGCTGGGAGGTTTGGGTAGAAGTTCATCAGGAGTGTCTTGTACTAGGATCACAGTTGGTTTTTTGTGCCACGTTGTAGGTTTGTGATAATGGTCAGGATCTGGAGTGTGGGACAAAATTAGATCATCAAGGGATACTGATTCCCATTTTGAATCTATTGGATCTTTGTTTAACATGGGCGCAACAATTTTTACCAAGGTGCCACTATTTTCCGGAGGGAAACTTAAATCAGGCAAAGAGTTACTGACAAAGTTGTGAACCAAATCATGAGTAACTACGTTTGTTTTATCCAAATCGTCGTGCGTCGCAGGAGATAAAGACACAGGAACCCATGTCTTTTCTGGGTCAACCTGAGCCTCTACTTTTACAGGAGACTGTATTATTTTCCGCCCCGGACGTAAAACAGAACGCCTCCTTCGCCTTTGTCTCAACGACCTAGATTTAAAATACCCCTTTAAATATATGTTCTTATTTAAAACGAGATTTCGAAGATCACCTAACGGGATTTTACGACTCAAAGACGAGTCATTACCTCTGAGAGATTTTTTATTGTCATAATTGAGTTTGAAATTGTCTAAATACTTAACCATATTGTTGAAAGCTTCTTTTACACTATCGTCTCTCCCACTCAAACCAAGTATGGATGAAATTATACATGTCAAACGGTTCTCTAAGCTATCTACATTTCTATATTTGAGTCCCCCGAAACATTCCCTGAGCCTTAGACTGTGGGTTTGAGAAGGTTTAGCGTTAGCCTGCTGTAAGCTTGACTCCCCAAATGTAAGATTAGGTCCGTGTGTATACCTGTTGACTCTGTGTCCAGTGATGGGTCGCCACGACTCAGAATCTGAAACAAAACAATAAGTTTAATTATTTAACAAGTCAAAAGAATAATTTGTATTCTATGTAGTGTTGTCAGCCTCAATTTGGAGCTGTCTGGCTGCTCTTTTTCTTTGTCTTGGTAGAAGCTCACAGACAATAACGATTCATCAGGTCACTGGACTTAGAGAGCCTTTGATACATTAAAAGCTAAACAGTGATCAAGAAGAAGTCCTTGAGATTAGGTATCAATAGTCTGTCATATTTTACCTAAGCTATTTTATCTTATCCTCACAATAACCTTTTTAACACATCATTCCTATAAACACCTCAATCGTCCTCATTGCCTTATTAACATGATACAAATTCATAATATGTTAACGGCCTAAAATCAAATTGCAGTTAGGTCCATAATTTATGATGCTCAGTATAGAACCTTCAAGGAGCGAGCTAGCGAACTGGTCAAGTGGTTAGAGCGCTGGACTTTCGTCCCCGAGTTCCCAGGTTAAAATCCCACCAATTTGGCAGCATCTAAGTGATACTATGCCGCAAACCCTAGGTATAGCCTGAAGTAATGTGAACAACAATGTAAAGAACTACTGAGTTGTTTATATCATAAAACAATCCCGGGCTCGTGCCTTGAGGACAAAAAAAGTTAAAAACCTTCAGGACGCCATTTCAGATAAAAAGTACGGTATTAAAAGTATTAAAGAACATTTAAACCAGTGAGCACAGAATAGCAAACATCCATCTTTCTACAAAACAACAAACTTCGGATTAAATACCCCCGCTGCAGCAAACCTGCCGACTAAGCGAATTCCCATTTGCCTGGTTTGATTTTCAAACTTATCTATAAGTATAAAAGAGGATGTTTGTATATATATTTGTTTGTTTGTTTGGCAGTGATAAACTCAGACACCGCTGAACCGATTGCCACGAAACTTGGTACATACGTGTAGAATGTCATGGAATAGGTTTATACACCATCAATTTTGTGATCCGTCCAATCGGCTCCGCCCCAGTGGCTCTGGAGTTTCCCATGTTAACCATTATGAGAAATGGAATTAATGAATCTTAACAGCTGTTTCAATTAAACAAGTTGGTTCTGTTCTATGATGTTCAATAGCATTAAAGTTACAAGGATTACCAACAGGGTGCAGCACTATTATTTATTTTACATTTATGACAACAGCTAATTTGCAACCAAAAGGTGAGTGAGCGTAGCGAACGAACTTCAACCTGGAGGCGAGTTAGCGTAGCGAACGAGCTAACCTGAAGGCAAGTGAGCGTAGCGAACGAGCTAACCTGAAGGCAAGTGAGCGCAGCGAACGAGCTCCAACCTAAAGGTGAGTGAGCGTAGCGAACAAGCTCCAACCTAAAGGTGAGTGAGCGTAGCGAACGAACTTCAACCAGGACGTGATTGAGCCATGCGAACGAGATCATCTTGAAAATTAAGAAGTTAAACGGGGCAAAGCCCGCGGGATTATAAATAGTCAAAGGCAAGACAACGTCTGCCGGGTTCAGCTAGTATATTAAAAAAAATTAGTTTTTCTTTTCCGAGTTCGTTTGGCTTTTCTATCTGATCGATTTCCATGATTGAGGGCTCAAATTGAAGGTATGTATGCACAGATTGAGACTCGCCATCAAGCATTGGCGTATATTTATCTATAGTCCCACTCGGTGTATACGTAAACGATTTTTGCTTCCCATGTATTTTTTATGTGAGTTAAATTTGGGTTTTCTTTGCCGAGTTCGTTTGGCTCTTCTACCCGACCGATTTTCATGATTTAGGTCTTAAATGGAAGGCATGCACGCCAAGCTTTCACATAAAGCATCGGCAAATATTTACCTACAGTTTTATTCGACCAAAACACATAATTTGATTTATTTTCTAATTCTTACTTCAATTTAAGATATACCTTCACCAGTTATAATTTTATATTCCTATATATTTTAGTCTAAGAACCTTGAGTGAAATACTGGCTTTCATTGAGGCTATTAGTTATTCCAATCGGACGAGTTTCAAGCAAACGCAAGGTACCAATATAAAAATTATTTTTCAAAAGTTTTTTATATGATAAAAAATCAGTAGCGCCAGTATTGTTCATGTTTTTCTATATGTTTTAGACTCAAAATAATCAGTAAAAATTAGGCTTTAATTTACTTACTGCTTAGGCTTTAGATACTGTATTACTCAATAAAAAATCATAAATTTGATTATTTCTCAGAAGTTATATTTATTTTAGTGCTGCGGAGCAGCATGGTTCCTCTAGTTAATATATTAAATTAGCATTTATGTTTAACGAGTACCTAGGTTTGCTGCTGCAGGGAAACTAATAAAGTGTGTTTTTTATTAAAATATCAATAGCTTAGTATGGAATAAATAAATCTCCCAAGTTTGATCAAAATATATCCATAACACAAGCCAACTACAACATTTTACAATATTCTCCATAAGAATAACATGGTAATTTTAAATTAAAATTTTTTTCAAATCTTCTCCATAACCAATCACCGTAGAAAAACACTTTGATATACTAAATTATTTGTTTTTTAAGCTCTTTAAAAAAGGTCTGGAGTAAAATTGAAAAATTTTGTGTTTTAAGGGTAAAACGAGAAAACCGCATTTTTGCCCCATAAAACCCCCCGTTAAACACAGTTCCTTTGAGGCCTCTGGGGACATCAAAATGAAAAAGTAAATCGGTCACGGGCCTAGGTCTTACCATGAGACCTACGCTAATAGCTACCTACTTCCCTATTGGGAAATTCGCTAAAACCTGGCTCTATATATCGACTCAGCTTCTGTTAATTGAGCTAAAATAATCAATGTCGTATTACCAGTAAGAACATTCAATTAAACATTTCAGTTTCCAAAGTAAGTAGGCTATAACACCGAAATTCTAAAACAATCAAAGTATACCGAGTTATATTCCCGAAGTAACCAGCGTAACCCACAATCAAGACGAAATCCCAAGCAAACCCACTGCCTCTGACGTCAAGTTCAAGGGTAATGGACGAGCTGTGATGGGAGAATGTCGGGTTATTTACCCGGAAACCCGAACACAAAAGAGGTAAATTACAGTATTACAGAGATGGGAGCGCGTGAAAAGTAGGTCGGCAGTCGCGACAATGCACTTCGGAGGGATCCGGCTTAGCGTTCTCACAGAGCGCATGAAAATGGATGTGGAAATCTGGCAAATCTTCATGGTAACCCGTTATACAGTTTATAAATACCTAGTAGCCATGCCCTTGCTGCGCACCGAATGAACGCGGTACGGAATAAATGTTTGAAGCTACTGTAGAGAATTAATTTTAGTCACCATTGATTATAGAGAACACACGCAGTTTCTATAACCAATGGTGCCAGCGTACAACAGTTTGTATTTCATATTTTGGATCAGCTGTATGAGAGTTATTTTTTTATTTCTTTTTTGCTGTCACAAGATGAATAAAGTCATTAACTCTCATTTTCATGTGCAGTAAAAACTGTTCAAAAGAAAATAGTGTTGAAATTGTAACTTTCCTTTTGTTTCTATGGAAATTTATCAATAAAATGATCCTCTAAAATAACAACTCGGCAGCAAAGAGCAAATAGGACAGAAAGTCTAGACAATTTTCTCAAAGTTTCATGGCGATCAAGATCAAGGTGATTACAATGTCCCCTAATGTGATTTACATTGTATCAGTACTGTATTACAATAATATAATAGATTAAAGAGAGTAGGCCCTACTATTTAACCTGTGATTACATCTCCAAATACAAACAATTATATATCGTGGTACAATATTTACATTGTTTACATCGAACCATGGTTATTATTACCAACAGTGATGTTTTTTTTTTTTTAAATGCACTTCCCAAATCTCATTATACGACAAATATTTTATCAGAATGAGAAATCATAAATGCAACTTTGAATTAGACGAACACTGCCTTAATATCAGTTATACTATAAGCAACCCTGCTGCGATACAGTTGAGGAGGCAGTGGTTTGCACAGAGTGATTGGCAAACAGGTAAACAGCTGGTAATGACCTGGTCAGCGTAACCTTGGAAACAACTGTTACATAATCAGCTGATCTCAGCCGCCACTGCCATGGCCGGTCGTTGACGTTGATTTCATTCATGACTGCCAATCATGCGGTGTTTTTACACATGATTTTATACCGTAATTCAAAGGCCCTTAGAATATCAGACCGTAGATTAAATACTAATTTGTAGATTTATAATCCTTATGGGTCATCTGAAGACAATACTAAAGTTAGTTCCGACTTTGGTGTATTTAGAAAAGTTTCGTCTGCGTCCTGAGAAGATTCAGCCTTTTGTAGTAAAATGCTTCAACTATAGTGTTTCCTTCCTTCCATCAGGGCACATGTATTCTTATTTCCATTCCAATAAAATCTTTCATGTGCTGATGTGCTTATTAGTGTTCATGTCAGTTCCTCAGAGGCAAAATCAGTATGTCAAAAAAAGAAAACAGTATGTTGATCTCCAATGCCAATACTGTATCTAGATTTCCAAATGTTTAAACTGTTCCATGTGAATTAAACATGTCGCCTGTTCAAACCCTAAGAAATGTATAAACCTGAATTTAAAATACTGTACCCCCTAACAGGCTCAACAACCTGTTTAGGTACGTTTTTGACAAGGTATAAAGAATTATTTTTAATGTATAACCTTTAACAATTTTCATTAAGAAAAGATGAACTTACGATCATTTATAATACGGGGTATCTTTTTAGTGGAAAAGCACACTCAAAAGTAACCAAACACGAAACACACATCAAAATAGGCTTCTGATTAACAGTAGGAAAATTATACTTGCCGTATCCAAAGTCATTAGATGGAAGTGTAAATTGGTTCAATATTATAAAATAATTCTTATAATAAACCTAGCTGTCGTTTTTCATGGTGATCCAATAATTAAACCTGAATAGACATCTTACTTCATTGGATAGCTTCAGCTTAGTTTTAAATTTTAAAATCTAAAGTAACATTTGAGCTTCATGTGAACCTTAAAGATTACCGGTCCAATCCTTGGTTCAAACTAAACCCAACTTTAGTGTATCATTTTAAGTAGACTATTAACCTAGAAACAGTACCTAATGCTAATCCTCGGCTGATATTAACACTTTTTCATTTCACTTTCTTTTTAATCAACACCCAACCACGCACCCTAATGTATTGGACTTTAACAATAAATCAGACTCATGCAATTTTTTACGCCAAAAATTAACTTGCTCGAGTTCATACGAGCACTGCAGTGTCATTGTTTTTATTATAACATGGGAATATAATGCAATCTTAAGTGTATTTTTGTGTTAAAATATTAAAACTCAGCTGTAATTCGCAGACGAATCCTAGATAATCTTTTAACTCTAATCTTTCCAATCTTTCACTATATTAAACATCTTCCGTATCGGTCTATATATTTTACTCCTCGTATCATAAATTAAATTTCTCGAGTGCATGCGATGCATCTTTGGTCTCCTCGGTTGAGGCCAGATGCCGAGGCCATCGGAACCCCAGTCGCGCACACCAGATGGTAGTCACTTCCGTAGTCAATGACCGAGAGGTATTCCTTCGTATCCTTTCTTGAGCGTGACTGCAGACTATGGTAACCATACACCATCCGGTCTTGGATAGCTAATGAGTGCGATACGTTCCGCAGAGTTTTACGGGAAATAGTACCATCACCATCTTCTTGTGCTCGCTCAGCCAAGCATTAGTACAAGGACTGCAAGGTCCAGTTTAGGGAAATGAAAAAGGTGCAATTTTTTTTAATATCAAATCAGAAACCTTTCGATTGCCAAGGGAGAACAATACCCACTTACACTTAACCAGCCATCTTTGACCAATGGTCCTTAAGTTCAGCTGCTGCCATTGTCCAGTATAATTTCTTTAAAGACAAACGCTTAAGGAACAACAGGGTCCAGTATACTGTTTTAAACCATCAAATTACTACACACTTTTGGGTAGCGAATCGAAACCCGTTTTATTACTGAAAAAGCAATACAATCACTCAGCTACGGTATCTCGGACAAGTATTCATAAAATCAGGTTCCTTTGGCCAGGATTTTTTTCCAAAAGCCCAGTGATTCTTGACACTTGGGTTTAGATCCAAGCCATCAAACGCTACTATTGGATGGTTTTGCGTACAGTATTTTCACTAAGGCACTATATCAAAATCAAAAGATATATTAATTTAATAAATAAATATTTACCTGAGCCGGGGCTGGGTCTAGCTTGACATTGCAGCACTAGGAGCGCCACACACACCCCCCAACCCCACCACGCATAAAGAACTGGCTTCATGCTACACTCCTGGAACAGAAGAAGAACCATAATTAGACACAGAAGATTTAACTTAATTCAGATACAACACTAAATTGAGCTGGTTCGATTTTTACTGCACCAGCATTTTAGAGATGAACAATATCCTCTATAATCCGCTCGATCTAGAAACAAATGTGCCTATTATAAAATTTTGCTGCAACACTAATGTTTTTTTTTTTACATTTTCCTAAAGTCCTACCTCAGCCAACTACTTGGCCAAGGACGTGAGGTCCAAGATGGCGGTTATCACATAGCGGTCCTCGGTCAAGGTCGTCGGTGACGTCACCAAGGTACAGGTTTGCAGTACAGTTATACGGATGCAAATACCGAAGGAAAATGAGATGAGTTTCATCATCCCACGACTCGTTGATCTGGTTACTAATTGGAAACTAGTTGCTAAGGATGAATGGACCCATTGGACAGTACAGCGTTTCAACATAGATAAAAGGAGTAGGCATGGTTTCAGTGGTAAATGAGCTTCAGTCAAACCTAGCGTCGATGTCTCTTCCTCAACATATTGGAGATCATAATTGTACTCTCTTCCAGTATAAATATAATTTGATATTGCTGTAAAACTCGGTAGGGAGTATTGTATAGTCAAACTTTAGGATAAATAGGTTGTTAAATCGTCTAGGACCCAATAATATCACACGGTATTTTGGCGTTCATGCATTTCAGTCGCCTTGATTTTATGGTGGAAACAACTTCTGCTGTACCTTCTATTCTACCTTATATTTTCAAATGTATGCAAGGATGACTTAAGTTATCTGAGGACCCAACAACCAATGGCGTTCAGCAACTTCAGTCAAACCCAGCGATGAAATCTCCACTTCACAAATATGGTTGAGGCAATTGTTTGCATCTTCTGTGTTCAACCCTCTAACTTCTGCCTTCTATACCTCTATTTAAAATTTTGTCTAATGGACCGTTTTCAAGTGATTGGTATTACAAACGTATGGATTAAAGTACTAGTCAACAATACTAAACCCGAGAAAATAAAAAAAACAATGCATCTTTAAAATAGCAGGTTTTTGTAGTTTAATTTAATTTAATGTGGTAAGCCTAGTTCTGATTCTTAGTAAAATTTTGCAAAAATCAAACATACTCTAAACAAAATACCTTATCCCTAAAATGCATTACCAGTGATCAAATCTATACACTCCATTAATCTCTTTGCAAAAATGCCATCCCTTACATGTTTACCAACATGATCTATAATGATTTACCGTACATTTCTCTCTGGTTTCCCAAGACAGACGACACTTTAGTTGTTCATTACATTATGTAACAGCTGTCCACTACACACTAGACCACCCTAGGACTGCCTGCTCATTACTTAAATCCTACATAGACGACATAATCTACCGAGAATCGTGTATCATGCGATACTTACACAACTGTTCCCCTTCGACTTTCAGTGCGGTTTGTTAGTAGGAATTTTAAAATTACAGTACTTAGATTCGAATAAGCCATAAATTCCTTAATAGATTCTGGAACAGCTGATTTGTTACATTGTTGAAAGTTCTGAATTGCTTTAACATAGGTACCTCAAATTGATATCCTACGATCCAAGCTATTTAAAGAAATTATAGTTAAACTTCTCGAACTTTGTGGTTTTGATATTGTTCTAAGGATAAATATTTTCTAATATATATAAGAATATCTTCAATAAACTTGATGTAGTATTTTGACAAATTTAGAAGGAAATCATCAGTATTAGACGTTCAGTTTCAAGCTTTTAACTCGAATATTTAACATGTTCTTTAATAGCACCTTACAGCATCCCTTTTTCTTACAATTTCTGTTCTTTTGACCTCTCACACACATGCGCTGATACACGCACACTCAGACTCCGGTTGCTCCTGAGCTTCGAGTTAGGTAACCGATAGAAAGTAGCCCTAGTTATGCACCCACTGTCCAGCTCTGGATATTACATAGTAATTACGAATCTTCTCCTTACTTTCTTACTAAACTATCCATTCGTGTCCACCTACTGATTGGTGTGTTCCGCATAGTTGTCGTATCAATAATGCATTTCAGAGCATCTAACTACAAATTGTATAATTTTGATGATTTTTCTTTCGTAGTACAGCATCGCGGTTTCTTTTGAAATTAATATGACTAAATACACACTATCGTACAGTATACATTACATTTTCATGTTAAAGTTTATGCAAATTGTAGAATTTATAAAACAGAGTTTGGTACTGTACCACCAAACAAAGTTTGATTTTTAGTACACAGTATTTTCAATCGTGTGAAACTGCAAATGCTTAGTATTTTTACCTAGCCATGGCATATTTTACGTCCAGTTTTAGTAATACAATATGTCTAAAGGAGTAGACAAACATTGAATGGTATAACATTGAATGGTTATAGTAAACTCTATGATATAACTCTGTCGACGATGTTTTGGTTCAGCACCCGAAATAAAAAATGGAATGATTGAGATATTAAGTTCACTTAAATCCCCTACCTAATGTAACAGAGCTTGTTTCCTTATCAGTCAAATAACAAATTTGATGCATTTTGTTACATAACAGCATTGATTTAAAACATTCTGGAACTACTGAATCATACCAAACCAAGGACTAAGCAACTATGTGTGAAAGATTATCCTAGTGTATGTTTTTCTTTTCGATTCTTTATTATAGGAGTAGCAGTTTTTATTGCACTTTCGGCTGGAATATTGTTGTATGACCAAATCACAAAAATGTGCAAAAGTCATATCACATCAAATAGCCCATGGAAACAAAAAGTTTCTCTCTACGGTACGACGTAATTTGTAAAATATGGTCACCCAAAGAAAATATTCCATTCGAATTAAGCTTTCACCATAAATAAAAGAGCTCGAGACTTTTAGAAAGGGTCCTTGATGACTAGACTGGTAGAAAGCATCACCTTGAGAGGTCTGATAGTGGCTCTATCACACCCAGTGGGGTTCCTATGCGGCCAGTGAGGAGATAAAGGATAAAATAACTTGCGGTAAGTATATTCCTGGAAAAGGCCTAAAACAAGATAAAAGCAAAAGATAAAACATATTAGCTTGGTATTAAACAAATAATTTCGACCGCCTGTCACCATATGCAAGTTAGAAAGACACGGAAGAACCGTTACGGTTCAGTCAGATAGGCAATGGTGACTACTATGATAACGAAAATCATCTGTGTCTGGCTTATCATCGCAAAACGGTACCACTGAGCTACCTTGTTCCGTAGACAATATGACCAGAATACAAATTTACCGTGAAACATTGGCGGTAGTTTGTACTCTGTTGATGGTTTCACTTGCAAACGTATCTATATCTTTGGCAAATAGTACAAACGTAAAAAATCACCTGCAAAAACAAGTAAATAATAGTTTTTATTTCTATTGTTCCAATTATCAATTCAATTATCAATTATCAATTATTTAAGATGGGGACGCCACTATGTGCGTATTTTAACCCAAATATGAGTGAAGGATGAGTGTAGGATGAGTGGCGCGATCTTGTAGTCTTGTTAGTGACTAAGGCCGACATGTTCCTTAGACACAGCTGTTAATTAATAGCCCATTCAGCTAATGGCAACTAAGGGACCTACAGTTTATTGTGGAATCCGAACCACATTTTTTCCTCGTAATTAACAAATTGGTCTAATTATTAGGATAGTACTGCGGATAGTCGTAGTACTCACTAGTGCGGACGTTAATCCACACCAGGGAGCATCGCATCCACATTGCATCCCTATAAATATCCACAATTCGTGACCTCCTAGTAGTGTGAACAATGGAATTATAAAAAAAAACCTGCCAAGTCACGTGGTCTTGATTTTATAAACCCCGAAAAATCAATTAGATCATTCAACTGTGCATCTTAACCTCAACTCCATTCATCAAATCAATTCAACGCTCAATGATGAACTCGGGTGAAATCAATCAAGAAGTCTATCTAAATACAATACCCCAACCTACAAAGCCTCGGTGCCATCAAAAGGTCAAACTGCCCTGACCTCAAGCACTGTTGCGGCCCTGGAGTCTGTAGAGCCCCAGATCATTAGTCTACCATTGTGGCCTCACAAAGGTGTTCAAATTTGTCTCAAGGGCAACGTTGAAATGACCGGAAGAAATGGCCGAACCTGTCGTTACCTCCCACACAAGAGGCAGGTAACGGTACGGGCATTCCTGTTGCGTCAGTCCCATATAACGGCCTCCGAGCTATGCACACACGGAGCCCACAGTGCTTCCTTGTAGACCTATCCTGGGCATAACTGACCATCCTCTTGAGAAACTCCTTCAAAAACTTTGTTAGTCGTGTAGAATTGCTCATCGTGTGTCCATCTACACCTGTTATGGGCTAGATGGACACTGAAAACTGACCACTACACATCTCTGGATAACCCTTATTTAAAACTATGTTGTTTCAGTTGTTAGTTGAGCTATGCACTCACATGGACCCAAAGTGCTTTCTTGCAAATGCAAACCTATCCTGGGCAATTGACCATCAATAATTATTTACGTCCTTCTTTTAATGGTGTATACATCCCTTCAGAATCTCCATTGAAAACTCTGTTCAATACACACCACGTAGAAATTTATTATCGTGTGTTGCCGTTGTTTTATTTAATTTTAATCAATCCCATTATGAATTCAAGTTTACGAAAGTATACAAAGCAGTGTGTGGATTGGTGTTCCAGTGAACGTAGAATATAATTTAAAAAAATACAATTATGTACATTAGTACAAGTCTTTTCCACGAAGATATCTTCTGGAGACGAAGCAGCTGCAAGCTTCAATTTTGAACACTTGCCATGATAAAATATGGGGTTTCGATGGATTTCCGAAAGGTCAGGGCAGTTTGAACGCCCACGGATCCGGTTGAAACGGTTCAACGGATGACTATTATAGCTCTTGTCATCGGAAACCCCACGGGCATCCAGCCATGATCATGATTCGGTTCAGTAAACCTGCATTTCCCTTCTGTCGCTGGGTGCTACATCGGAACTAACCCC